CTCTACTCCTGTGTCGTCGTCGAGAGTCTCTAGTCAATATATATATATATATATATATATATATATATATATGTGTGTGTGTGTGTGTGTATTGTGGTGATGTTTTTTGGTCCTGCAGTGGTGGTCTCAAGAATGCTCCGAGTAGTTAAATCTTCAATGTTCATTGTTGATTGTTGACCAGCATCATGCAGCAAAGTGGCAACTAAACAAAATGCTCATTTTTGTATCTTAACTATCTCAAAGTAGGATTGTTGGCATTCTGAATTGGTTGCACAGACGTGACTGTGTTGCTCAGCTGTGTCACACTGCTCTCTGCTGTTGGTATGTATGCAACTTAAGAGCATGGGTCTCACTAACAGAACGTTGTGCATGTAATTCACAAAAAAACATTTGTATGCAAAAAGTGATTAATTTTTGTTGTTGTTTTGACATCCATGTTTTTGCTGAGCCTGATGCCAATTCGTACAATGCACATGATACAGTTGATATTAGTTCAAGTTTTTTTTGTCAGATTTGGTCATATATCTGACATCAGTATATGGAGACCAGACATAGGCTAGTAAGGACTTAACTGGTTGTTTGAAACAGAGTAAGTGAGCAGTTTGTGTACGCAGTTCTTATTGTATTTTTTGTTGCCACTAATTGGAAGACTCTTATTCAATTTTTGTTTACTTATGTATTCACAGTATGCACTTTTTAAGATTATAATATGGCTTATGTATAAGTTTATAAAGTTCTTACTAAACCTAAAATTGGGAAGACACATCTCCATCCTACAGTCCACCTTGCTGTTTTTTTGTTGATTCTGTTTAGTAACTTCTTTCCATATTAATGTGTTTTAACTATATACTTGCAGCAGGGCTAAAGCATGTTTTTGTGTTAATTTTATTTTGCAATTAAATACCCTATGCTTACACATTGCCATTAGTTTAGCTATACAAGACATGCAGAAAATGATACAAACTGTTCTTGTCAAGTGATGGCTCTGGATATGTAACTGTAACTATTAGCACTAGCCCTTCAAGTAAATATAGTTAAATATCCTTAATTTGAAATTTATGGGTATTTTTTTAATTCTGGAGGGAGATGTTGATGCTTTAGGGTATTGATAAAAAATAACAGTGAATTTCTATGTTGATATTGGGTGTGAAAGCTGATTCAAAAAACAAACAAACATAGGTAGATGTGAAAATTGTTTTTTAATTTTAAAGCAGTACTTACATTATGTTAGTGATATACAATGAGAGAGTGAGGCTTGTTAGCTTAAATTGTTTGTTTTTTTCACACTTAATTTTTTATATGATTGGTTTCATAATCATATTAATGTGAAGTATTCAGATAAAAAGGTTAACTTACAAGTTACATAGAAAAGAGATGATAAATTTTCTTTCTAACACAAGTGTGGAACAATTCTTTGAAGTTCTGCTGGTTTCATGCTTTGAACCTCAGTCCTAATGTGAAGATTTGATTATCAATGTAAATGTAAATGTGATTTTTATGAAGTGTAATAAAAGACTCTTGAACTTAGTTAAATGTATTTTATTACACTATGTGTCTGATTTTGTAAACTAAAGCTCTGTCTACCACAATCACCACGTGTTGACTACGGTATTAAATTTGCATCGTTTAGTTTGTCCTTACCAGCTAAGAGGATGCCTGTTGGCCACTAGAATAGCAAGAAAAAAAAAATCTAATCTGCCCTGTTGGACCAATTAGAATTTTAAGCACATTTTCTTTTGTACCTTGCCATCAAACATTCATTTATATGCTTTTTTCCCTTAAACTGCTGTTGTGTTTTGATCTTGTGAAAGTATTTTCTTTTCTTCAATCTCTAAACGGAACTTCTAGTTATCTAGCCTAATTTTGACCAATCTTGAAGTGATTAACATGTGCATGTTTAGAGAGGGCACTAGTTACAATAGAGGTAGTGTCACACTCCTATTGGTGGAGCTGCTACATGATCACTTGCATGTTAGTTTGCAGTAATAATTGGGAGTAACAAGGCTAGTAGCGAGCAAAAATGTGTGCCGATAGAGGGCAGTACAAGGAGGTAAGTATCTATTGGAAATACATTTTCTGTTTAGGAAAATGTTGACGTTTCTATCGTATAATGCCTTTTTAAATTCCTCACATGAATTATATCAAGCAAAATAATTTGAGAAAATTTCCCTTTGCTTAAGCTTGATTTTCCCAAGTGTTTATCTGTTTTCTGTTCTGTATTGTGGTATTTAGTCATATTTAAGCAGGTTGAGAGAAATATTTTAGAGTAGCTTGTATCAATGGAAAAGTAAAATGCAGAAAATACTTGTCCACCTTCATAATTTGTCTCGTTCCACTGAAGTCAACAGACATGAAGATATTTTCAAACAAATTTAGTGTAAACTTTGAATAAACTGTGTTTTAATTGTATTCTTACCTGTGAATATGCAAAACCTGATTTTCCTGTTTATTATGGATCAAAAAGTTATATTTTATATATTCATCCAGTGATCGTTAACTTACCGATGAATGTTATTGCACAATGTACTGTAAGATGCTCTTCTCTCAAGTGGTGAGTATTGTTACAGCTTTGAATAAAGAAATATTTCTGTAGCTTTCAAAAGGAAATTAATGAAACAAATATCCACTGTAAAAACAAGAAAATGCCACAAGAAACAATAACATATTATCAGGTCTCTAATTACATGGGAAGTATTTTTATTATCACTATTCAACCTTTGTTGTGTATTCAGCAGATTGTATGTTGAATACTTGTAGATGTCAAAACTTCTCTTTACAGTGATTGTGAACTCATTCAATAGCATGATTGTAGAAAAAAAAGGACCTTGGTACAATGGTGGACAAGTCACTTATGTCATTAAGGCAGTGCTCTGATTCTAGTGGCAAAGCTTGTAGAATCTTGCTGATGTTTGATCACAAGTTAGGTTATCATCTTTAAGGGGGCCCGGCATGGCCAGGTGGATAAGGCGCTCAACTCGCAATCTGAGGGTTGCGGGTTCGAATCCCCGTCCCACCAAACATGCTCGCCCATTCAGCCGTGGGGGCATTATTATGTGACGGTCAATCCCACTATTCGTTGGTAAAAGAGTAGCCCAAGAGTTGGTGGTGGGTGGTGATGACTAGCTGCCTTCCCTCTAGTCTTACACTACTAAATTAGGGACGGCTAGCGCAGATAGCCCTCGTGTAGCTTTGCGCGAAATTCAAAAAACAAACAAACATGTCTAAGGGAACTGATAATGTCAGTGTGTTATTTTTTCATATTTAACCCATTACCTGTCGTGGCCATTTTGTCATATCGTGAGGA